GCTAAACTGATGAGATATCGAAATGTTATGGCATCCATAACTGGTGAATATGTTTCTTCATAATCGACTCCAGGTCGTTGTGAGAATCCTTGTGCAACAAGGCGAGCCTTGTATCTTTCAACTTCATTTTTATCATTCCTTTTTCGCACAAAAATCCATTTATGACCAACTGGCTTTATACCAGCAGGTGTTTGGACTACTGGTCCAAAGACCTCTCTTTTAGCAAGTGACCTCAATTCTGATTGAATTGACTCTTGCCATTTTGGCCAATCAGTTCTTTGTCGATATTCTTCGACAANTGCGACTTAGTTATCCTTTTCAAATCAGTAAATGCGTCTGGCATTTGATTTGCTATATTCTGTAGATAGATGATCTTCTGGACCTCCTGATTACATATAGGGGTACGTGGATCAATGTGACATAAGGATGAAACTTTTCACACAATTTCTCTTTTGATTTTCTTTTTCTCTCCCCCTAATTATGGGAAATTTATTTTATCAAATCGACAATCTGCAAATCGTGCAGTAAATAAATCTCCTGTCAATGGTTCAAGATAGCGAATAATAGAGGGTGATTCAAACCCAATATATATTCCTAACATTCTTTGAGGGCCCATCTTACTGCGTTGTGGTGGTGCTACTGGCACATATACAGCACATCCAAAAATTTGTAGATGGATAATATTTGGTTCATGACCAAAAACTAATTGTGACGGAGAATATTTATTATAATGTGTTGGTCTGAGACGGATAAGTGATGATGCGTGCAAGATAGCATGGCCCTAAACAGGAGTGGGCAATTTTGTTTTCATAAGTAGTGGTCTTGCTATCAATTGCAGCAGTTTAATAAATGACTCTGCAAGGCCATTTTGAGTATGAACATAAGCTACAAGATATTCAACTTTTATTCCAACTGATAGGCAGTAATTATCAAAAGCTTGAGATGAGAATTCTCCGGCATTATCAAGGCGAATAGCCTTTATACGATAATCTAGGAATTGTGCCCTTAATCGAATTATTTGGGCTAATAACTTTGCAAACGCCAGGTTGCGAGATGATAGTAGGCACACATGAGACCATCTTGAAGATGCATCTATTAGGACCATAAAATATCTAAACAGCCCACTTGGTGGGTGAATAGGTCCAAATATATCCCCATGTATACATTCTAAAAAGGTAGGGGACTCAATGCCAACCTTTATTGGTGATGGTCTAGTGATCATTTTGCCTTGATAACAAGCATCACAAGAAAATTTATCATTTGTAAGAATCTTCAGGTTCTTTAATGGATACCCACTCGAATTTTCAGTAATTAAACTCATCATTATTGATCCAGGATGGCCCAAACGGCCATGCCAAAGCACAAAAGTAATTGAATCATTAAACTTCTGGTTTACGATAGAGTTGGTAACTTTTCTACAATGCATTTATGGCCAGAAATATTCTTTGTAATACAAAGATATTCCACGTTCATTTCATCTATTGTCTCAACATGATACCCATTTCGGCGGATATCTATAAAACTCAACAACTTTCTTCGGGACTTGGAGGAGAACAATACATTGTCAATAATAAGTTTTGTTCCCTTATACAGAAATACAGTAGCTCTTCCGGAGCCTTCAATCAAACTTATTACCAGAAATTGTGGAAACATTTGCTTTTTCCTTATGCAAATAAGAAATGTATTTCTGATCTTTGAATATGGCATGAGTTGTTCCACTATCAATTACACAAATATCTTCATGTTGGTTTTTGATCCAAACATAATTTGAGGATTTTCCATATTCTTCAAAATGACATAAACAAAATTAATATGATAGTAAACATTATTTTCAAAGCATAACTTTTATTTATGTACAACAATTATATAACTATACTATCTACTACAAACAACAAAAATTAAAATATTTACATTTCTACAGATTCACTACCGATCACATGACTTGTTTCTCCTTCCGGGAGTGCAAA